AGCATTTCCTATTGCAACTAATATAATGCATAATATGACACATGCAAAGAAAATTGAGTATTCACAAATTACAAGCCACCAAATAATTCAATCATTTTCTTTCTTTAAATGTTTGCAAAAATTACTTGAATGAGAACTCAATCAATATTGAAATGATCAGATAATCTGAGAATTTAATACTACAACAATAACAATAACATCAAGCCTTTGTCCCACTATGTGGGGTTGGCTACATGAATCATTTTTCTTTTTTAAAGGATGCATGTCATGATTATTTGATAAGTTTTATGCTAGCTGTTGACTACCTAACGCAACCCTCCACTTTTCTCATAAAAGACATGGGACCTGGCAACGGCAGTGTTATAATCTGAGAATTTAATGAGGAATTTAAATCATGTAAAATCAATAAAGAAATTTGAGGATTCACATTCAATACTATAATTATAACTCTATCAATAATGAAATAATCCAAATAATCTGATATATTCAATACGGAATTAGAGCCATGTAAAATCAACAAAGAAATTTGAGAATTTACATCCAATATTAGAATTAAAACTCAATTGATAGTGAAATGATCAAAATAATATGAGAAATTCAATGAGGAATTTGAGCCATGTAAAATCAACTAGCACTTGAATTTAATTTCTTCAAAGTAGATTTTTGACGTGTCAAATTTTTATCAATATTACAAATACTAAATAAGTCATATCATTATATATAGATGAAATAGAGTGAGGTACAAAATTATCACAGCAATAAAAAGTCAGATCTTACACTTATACAAGGAGATGACTTCGGCTTTTGTGCTTGTATTGCATTTGAAGGAATCACACATCCAATTTTCACTCACAAAATTAAAACTGGAAAAGAAAATTTTATTCAAGCAAAAAAATTTTAATTACATTTCTCAGAACAGCTATTTGTAAATATGGTTGGTAGGGATCATCTTAATCCAAGTTTAAATTAATTTCAATAAAAAATATAAGATTTTAAATTTAATTTTTTAAGTCCCATAGACTCCTTATTCCAACAGCCTAGCCTGACCAACCTCAAATTTCATAAGCATTATTGAGATGCTAAAGTAACTAAGCGTTGAAAGATCCTGCACACCTCCAACTAAAACAAAACAAAGAACAAACGCCTCCAAAATCCTGCAAATCTCTCAACTCAGCCCAAACACAAATTAGCAATCATGATTTATGATATCCCAATTCTATACAATAAGTTTAAGTAGATAATGCCAAGGCCATAGCTTAAGCCTAGATAATGACGAGGTTCCATTGCCAAAGTAAAATTATATCACACTTAAAGTCTATTCTTTGCATAACAATCATCATTTGCGAGAACCCAATTATTTGGTGTTGGCTTTATAAGTTTTACTATATTCATTTATGGTGAGTCTTATATGAGATATTTAACTTTATTTGCACATATCTTCTTACGCAATTTATAGCCATTTTTTTTTCTGAGCTACCCTTCTATTCTTTTTTTAAATCTATTTGAGGCTAACTTTTAAATCTTAATTTTTCATTCATTCTTTCTAGTCTTTTTATTTTATTTAACTCTTATTGTTGTTTGATAGTTCATCATCTACATTGGATATGCCTAAACTACATATAGTTTCAACTATTTTATCCTCAAAAAATTATTTCTATCATTCATCTATTTTAATCATAGGGCAAGTGTAGTTCCAATTTTATTAGATAAGAGTGCAACATTAGTTTGTAGTGTAACTTGAGGAAACATGCATATTCTTAAATATTGTTGGCTTTATGAATTCCATAATTTTATTTATATCATTGTTTGGTTTTTCTTCTTTTTTATTTTTCATGTAGAGTAAAAGCCAAAAATAATCCCCTCGTCTATTAGTAAATGTCCAATTTAGTCTTAGATTTTCATTATAACCCAATTTAATCTCAGATTTTCATTATAACCCAATTTAATCTCAGATTTTTATTATAACCCAATTTAATCCTCTGATTATTAGAAAATTTTTCAATTTGGTTCAAGGCCAAAAGTAATAGTTAAATTAACTCCAACAGTTAAATGTGAGGGCATTTTGGATATTATAACATATGTGATATTTTATTTTTATTATTTATTATATTAAAATAAATAGAAAAATCATAATTGAAGTTACCCAATTAAATAACAAGAGTGAATAATTAACAAATGTGGTTAACTTCAATCATAATTTTTGTATTTATTTTAATATGATAAATAACAAAATATTTAAAAAGTAATAATTTCACATACACCCTAATATCCAAAATGCCTTCACATTTAATTGTTGGGGTTAACTTTAACTGTTACTTTTGGCCTTGAGCTCAAATTGAGTCATTTTTTAATAGCTGGGGACTAAATTGAGATATTATGAAAGTCTGTGACTAAATTGGGCATTTACTAATAGTTGGAGGACTATTTTAACTTTTACTCTTTTCATGCACATTCTTGAACTCTATTAATTACTATATAATCCTATAAAATAATATTCATATTAGTAGGATGCTTGTGTTCTAAGAATTGATGTCAACCTTTGATAAATTATATTACTAAGCGTTAGCATATTTGCATTTGCACTCGAACTTGTGATATCCCCTTGAGAGTTGAGAATAGTCTCACATCAAAAATTAAAAATAGAAGTTGACTTACTAAAATATTAGTAGTGGTTTTTATCCATTAGCTTAAGCTTTTGGATTGATGGATGTCCATCTACTATGGTATTGGGATTAAGTTCCGCTTTGAATGTTCCACTCTCCTTAACAAGTGATCTTATATCCAATTATTTGGATGTGATTGAATGCTTCATATTGTTTATAACTCTCATGGGTCTTTGATATATTCTATGATGTTTGAGTAATATTTAAGAGAAGGTGACTCTCACAAATACTCTACTTTGTTGAGTGTGTCCTGGTGCATGGAAATATGGAATTTAATGGTATTGTTTTTATTTGAGGAGAGTGTTGGTGGATCTAGTATATTCTTTTATGGAGGTGAGAATTGACATATACGTGAGAAATGTAACCCATATTATTAATATATTAGTAGTGTTTTTCGCCTATTAACTTAAATTTTCGGTTATTAATGTCCATTTTCTAATATATTGGGCATAAATTAGGCTTCCAATATTCAAAAAACAATGTTTTGGTTGCAAACAAGTGATAGCTAATGATTTGGCTGCAATTGAGTGTTTCATATAGTTTGTGGTTCTTATAGGCCCTTAATATTTTCTATCATAGTTGAGTAATATTCAAAAGCAGGTGATTCTCATGAGTTGCAGGTAATTGGCTAAGTCTTAGTGCATGCCATTTGATGGTGTTGAAAAACTTATATTTGAATGGAATGATGATAGAGCTGGTGCACTATTTTAGAATGGGTGAGATGTTAAGCTTCACATATGAATAAAAAATAGTCCGACATTAAGATTTAAAGAAAACTTGAGTTCCTAATATACTAGTAGTGGCCCATATCCCTTCACTTAGAGGCTTGTGATGGGTGTCCATCTTATAATATCTGGGGCATAATTTAGATCCTGACATTCTACTATCCTAAGCAAGTGATGCTAGAGCCAATGATTTCGTAGGAAGATTGCTTCATATGATTTTTGATTCGCACAGGTCTTTGGTGCTATCATGGTTGAGCAAGATTCAAATGGGATGATTCCCATGCAAGCTCCACATGGTTGGATAAGCCCTTTTTGCATAATAAGTTAATGGTTAGTGGAGTGATTGCCAATATAGTGGACCCACATATCAAGGTGAGATCTTGGAGAGAGTCGAAAATATTTCCACATCAAAAGTAAAAATAAGATTTGAGTTCCTAACATGTTAGCAACAACCCTTGCACATTAATTTTAGCTTTTTTATTGATACTTGTCTAGATACTGATATATTGGCCTTAACTTCAGCACCAAATGTTTCACCCTTTTTATAAGAACTTGCTACAGTGATATGATTCTATAAATCTATAATACACAGATACGGACATGATATGACATTTGCACAAACATGACACATGTCTAAAATACATGACACATGTCTAAAAATATATGACTCAAACACACATTAAACATGTCATTATAATATTATATTCTAAAAATTAAAAAGTATATAATAATTACATAAATTAATAATTATAAAATGAATTTGTATAATGATAATTTTATTTTAATTGCTCAAAAAATAAAAAATATATTTATATTTATTAAATACGTTAAACTTAATTGAAGATTAAATCATGAGATGATATTTTAGATTATTATCTTAAATTTAAGAAAATTGATTATTGTGCAATATATATATATATAGGAAAATAGAACAAAATAATAAAAATAAAATGACAGCTATTAAGTTATGTAAGTAATATATTTTAAAATTAAGAAAATATATGGCTTGACTCATATTATTAAAAAGTTATTATTCGAGGCATGCATGTCAGAGATGCATGTCCATTAATTTTTTGTTTCTTATAATTGAGTGCGTAGATAAGATGTCCAACATGTTTCGAGCATGTGTTAGGCACATTAATGTCTCCTGCACATATTTGACACGATACTTTTCACTATTATGTCAGTGCATCATAGCTGTAAATGTATTGCTGTGTTTCTATTGTTCACTCCATATTGATTTCAGGATGATGGTCCAATCTGAGGGTAGTAGAAACTTGAATATGCAATTATATACAATTTTTATTTATCGTTCAGCAGCAAGGCCTAGTATAAATTTTAATACTGTCACCATATGTAGATCTTATTGATCCTAAATTAACATGAAACCGGGGACTACTTCTATATTTATTCTTCCAGCCACTTGTATTTGGTTATCTGACTTGCTTCTTCCATTTTATTAGTGTAAATTTCTCCTATTGCATTGTTCCTGTAATTTTGAAAAATTTTAATTAATAGCAAGCTTCCTTGAATGAAAAATACTAATGCACCTTGTATAAAAATAAATAAATAATAAAATAAAATAAAAATTAATGCACCTTGTATTTTGTAGAAGGTTCTTCAAGCGGAGGAGTAAGTTACATATCATTTGGCCATAAAAAAGAATGCCTTTTGCAGCAATGGAGCAAGGTATCCTTCACTCTTTTTTTTTTGTATTTCAGTGTTATTTTCTTATTTTGCACCGTACTCTGTCTGTAAAACTTTTTCAAATGACCTGCAATACTAGATTGCACTGAATAATGTAATGCAGAACTAAAAACATTTTTTTATGCTAGGCTTTTTCATAAATTATGAGTAACTTTCTTCAAAAACAAACGGGTTCTTTTTCTTCTCATAATAATGTGTATCTTATCAATGAAAGTAAAGTACTAGATTGTTGCAAAAAAAAAAAAAATGCAGAAACTCTTCTTTTTGAGAGCACCAAAGAGAATAATTAAATTAATCTAAGAGAAACAAAACTAACCGCAAATAAAAAATACGACAGAATACAATGAGCACAATGATAGATACATGAACACCAAGAGCTAAGTGGTTCGATCAAGAAGGCCTTTATTCAGGAGGCAAGGAGATAAAATAAATTCACTATCAAAGGCATATAGGAGTGACAAAATTGTTAAAGTCCTCTCAAAAAAATAAGGATTTAGCAAATCTCCTAAATTTTAGGCAATTTTTCTCAATGACAAAGCTAAAGAAGAAAATAAGAATTTCTCCCACCAAATCTCCAAGCCAAAAAACATAATGAATTTATTTCTTCCTTGTTGTAAGAAATATGCCATAATCCTTGCATTTTTTGAATAGGGCAACCCCCTGATTCCTCAAAAGCCCCAATCTCAAGTAACCTATGCACAATCACATAAGCCACTGAGCCACTGCTCGATCTCATGTACTCTTAACAAATCCACGCAAAAATAATTGTCACAAGAGACGGAATTGTTTACTTATTGATTTCTTGCCAAGAACTAGGCTAGTTACGAAAAATAGGAATAAGGTTATTATAATGTTCACCAAAATGCCATTGATTTGATATAATTCATTATAATTTCTCCTCCATACCATTAAAGTTCAAAGAGGATAACAAGTATGCTTAAATCACTGAAGCACGGCAACAGTTGCATAAACTAAACAACGCCAAACATTTCCTAAATTTGAGAATGAGGAGCATTTTGATAAGAATGTTATAAGGATTGTGCTCAATGAAAATCTTCTAAATTGAAACCTCACCATCTTCAACTTTTTCTCGAAAGATAGTAAACAATTTTTTCATGATATATCTAGTATTAACTAGCATTTGATAATAAACATTTGATTCTCGATAGGATTTTTTTTTTTCGAGTTCTTCTGCCACTCCATTGAGGCGTACCCACCAGTGTCATGTTTGACATTACTTTTGTTAGAAAAAAGGTCCCAAACTCTTTTAGGATTTTACAATTTTTAATGCTTTCTCATAACACGATGCTCATGGAACATCAAAGCTTCAGTTATCATACTACAAAGCGAATCTTTTTTGCTCAAATCTAGTAGGTACTATTGTAACATATGCCCAAACCTTATATATCATAAAATTGTCAAATCATCTAAGGAAAAAAAAAATGATGCATAGCCTATCATTATACTACCTTGGAGAAAGTAAAGAAACATGTTAAACTTCTCCTTCATAAGTGAATATATGCACTCATTTGGAGTCTAAATAGCCTAAAAATATAAGATTCTTCTTCCAGATCGGCACATATCCCTTCACAACTCCACCATGTCTTGATTTAAGTTTTTCATATCCCAATAATCTTTCAGATCTTGGCCATGAGTTTTCACCACCAACAGACTTATAAGAAGAAATTCAATCGTTGTGAGAAGTCATGTGATATTAATATTCAGAATCAAGGATTGAATATGCAACAAAGAAATGCAACAATATGCAATAATCATAAAACCTATATTTTTTTGTCTTTTGCATTTGTTGATGCTCCAAAGTTAGATTTGCCTTTTATATATTTTTCCATGAGCATTTTTGCAATAATCAACAGTTTAATTTCTCTACATTTTATAGAAATTTATCTCTCAATTAGAAGATTAACTAATTAATGGTTTTATAATCCATCACCATCTCATCCTTCTCATTTTTGATGGAGAATCCTTCCCTTTCAAAGTCGGTTGTGTTTGAAAGTGTCTCCACAAGAGAAGGAATCATCAGATCAATTTCATGCCAAGAATTGGTCTAGTTACATAACATAAAAATAGTTTATTATAATATTTATGAAAATAAAAATTGATTTGAAAGTCATTAAAATTCCTCTTTATATCAAATCCTCCCTACTATCAAAGATTACAGTGGATAATAGGCATGCTCAAATCACCAAAGTTGCCTTTTTTTCACGCAAAGCCCTAAAATAATCAAGTTCATGCATTCCCTAAACTTAAAGGATTTGCCTTGGTAACCTGTCTTCAGGATTATAACTATTTTTATATCTTTTAAACTGATACCTTATTAGCTTACATGTGAAATATAAACAACAATTGTTTCAAATAGAGATGATTGGTAAAGTTTCATTTTGAGAGATTCCAAGCTTTCTCTCATCCCTTATGTGGTACTCTAAAATGCTACAATTCGAAGAACATTAGCTCCCAAATTGAGAATAACTGTATTGATTGCTATAGATAAAGGCAACAGTGTGAAGTATCTTTTGGTAAAAGATGATGAGACTGGATGGGGGATTTATGACAAGCCTCTTCGGTGCTTTGGCTGTGGCATTGGTTGGTTTTGGTAAGTATATTCAGCTATAGTTTCTATTTTTCTTCTTCTTCTTCTTTTTTTACCTTGCATGTACTACACTTACACCACCGTTTTACAGCTTTCTGACAGGACTTTTATGTCCCTTGGTATGGTACTATGGCACATTTCTGTACTTCAGTAACCACTATCGTAAAGATCCAAGAGAGCGTGCTGGTCTTGCTGCTTCTGCAATTGCTGTTAGTCTCTCTCTCTCTCTCTCTGTCTCTCTCTCTCTTCTATAAATACTTTATATATATATAGGATAGTAGGCTTTTTTAGTATTCTTCAACTTCTTTGACATTTGATATGTAAAGATATGGCATATTCGTCCAAGCCCCGTATTTTTTTTGATGATTGGGCTGCTGGTTTCATCCCGAGTCTCTCTTTTGACTAACATTTTGTTGTTCGCCATTTTTCATGGTGAACCATTTTGTAATGTTGGATTTTCTTATTTCTGTTCCCTTTTCTATAGGTTTTGTTTGATCTATTGTTCTCTTTTGCTTTGATCTTGTTTTCTAGAGCTGGTTTTGTAATTGTTTGTGATTTATATACGGGCTAAGCCCCAAAATTTCCCTATATTTATTTTTTTTTTTTTCATTTCATCATTTATTCTTTGAATAATACTTTAAAGTATTCAGGACTTTTTTTTTTATCCCTTTTTTAGGCATTGATATGCAGTGCTGCAGCAGTGATCACTGTACTTGCTGTTCTTCTATAGTTCAACCAACAGCTCTCTGGCTTTGGTGGTGTTGTAAAGTTTGCTGGTATGGGTCAAGGCTTATAGAATTTGGTGTTCTTTCATCTGTGGGACACAGACTGATCCTCTAATCTTCAAAGAAATCTACAAAAAAAAAAAAAAATCAAATTTTGTTTACTTTGTTTGGGTGGCCCAATGGGAACAGAGTGGGAATGCAAATATAATTTTGCTTGGAGAAATATGGTTTGGGCCATCGCCATTCTTCATGGTGAACCATTTTGTAATGTTGGATTTTCTTATTTATGTTCCCTTTTCTATAGGTTGTTTGATCTCTTGTTCTCTTTTGCTTTGGTCTTGTTTTCTAGACCTGGTTTTGTCATTGTTTGTGATTTATATACGGGCTAAGCCCCAAAATTTTCATTTCATCATTTATTCTTTGAATAATACTTTAAAGTATTCAGGACTTTTTTTTATCCCTTTTTTAGGCATTGATATGCAGTGCTGCAGCAGTGATCACTGTACTTGCTGTTCTTCTATAGTTCAACCAACAGCTCTCTGGCTTTGGTGGTGTTGTAAAGTTTGCTGGTATGGGTCAAGGCTTATAGAATTTGGTGTTCTTTCATCTGTGGGACACAGACTGATCCTCTAATCTTCAAAGAAATCTTAAAAAAAAAAAAAAAATCAAATTTTGTTTACTTTGTTTGGGTGGCCCAATGGGAACAGAGTGGGAATGCAAATATAATTTTGCTTGGAGAAATATGGTTTGGGCCACCAGCCAAGCAAAATAAAAGCTTTACTCTTTATTTTATCCAAATTGTTGATTTGAAGTAATCATTTGTCATTTATTTGCAAGAAATTTGTGACTTAAATCTCTGTGGCTTCTATTTTGGGTGTTGTACAGCTATATTTACTTCTTTTTTTTGTTTCATGGGGCAGCTTTTTTTCTGCTTCGCAAAGTAGTTTTTTAATACAAAAAATTTAATTTTTATATTAAAAAGTTGCTTTAAGAAGCAGTAAGAAAGCCGTCCCAAACGAAACCTAAATTTTATATTATTATTGTTTCAGCATTTTGTTAAGAAGCTTATAATTGTCAATTTGCTTTAAAAAAAGATTTTTTTTTTTTGAATGGGAGAGAGAGAGAGAGAGAGAGAGAGAGATATAAGGTATATTTGGAAATTGGGATGACTATAATATTTTATAAAGTTAATTGTGAAAAATAAATAGCTTTATATTATAGAAATTTTTAAAAATTAATAAAAAATTTGAAAGAAAGCAGCAGCTAAATGAATTGTTGTTCTTATCTGAAAAACAAATCAGTGAAAAAAATTATTTCATAGAGGCCATTAATCAAATAAAAGTGAACATATAGAAGAAATGCATTCCATCAAAATTATATTGCTGTGATGAATTTATAATTAAATTCAAATCTCAAAAATTACAAAGCGCAGCCTCCAAATCCAAACGAAACTAGCTTTTCTATATTCTAATAATAATAAATGTTATTTGTACAAAATTATTTCCATGATTCAAAATTTCTATGAAAATGCTAATAATTTTAAATTTTAAGTAATAAAATTCTATTTTTTACGTTTTATAAATAAAAGGAGTATCTTTGGCGTGGACGTCATGGTTATTAAAAAAAATATATATATATATTGCTTGTAATATATCATATAACACTGATAATTCTTTAGAGTAATACAGAATTTATATTTCAAAATTTCACAAAAAAACTTTAAAAAAAACTATTTAAATTTTTAAAAAGTTAATAAGGTTTTGTTTGGGACGGCTTTCTTGATGCTTCTTAAAGCAACTTTTTAGTACAAAAATCTGAATTTTTGTATTGTAAAGTTGCTTTAAGAAGCAGCAAGAAAGTAATCCCAAACGAAGCCTAAATGTCAAGTTTCACCCATTTATTTGAGATCTTGTTGTTTTTTTAATCAAATTGTCGACATCTACACAAAGCCTTCATATATTTTTTTTTTTCAAGAAAATAAAGATTTTTTATTTCACTTTGATGCCCGCACACATTAGCCCTAACTACTTCGATATTTTTCAAAAACTATTTTTAAGTTCATTAAAATACTCGCAATTAAAAAATAAAAATAAAAAATTGTATGCTTTTCAATTAGCTGAACCAAAATTACCTCAACCTAATTGGTTATGATATGATTTAAACCATAAAATTTGTTCTGAAATAAATATAATATATGACTAACCAATAAAATTTTGTATTATGGTAACAATAAAATAAAGGGATTTTTACCTACATAACACTTAAAAGTTTCTTATTTAGTCATCTAACACCCAAACTTATCTATTTACACTCATACCACCTAAAACTTATTTGATTTTCTAAAATATCATCCAGTCTTCCTCTCCGTCAAAATCCGTCTGATGCCGCACAAATCGCCCACCTGCTCCCTCTCTTTGCCTCTCGCATGCTCGCTGTTCCCTCTCTTCGAAAACAATACTAGACGGATGCTTAAATAGATCAACCGGCTGGCTCTCCTCCAAGCCTTGATTCGCCATTACCCCTCTCTACAAACCTCTTTGTATAAACATGTTCGCTAGCCAAATAAGACAGTTGACTTAGTAAAGCCTGACACATGCTCAAATTCTAAATCACTCGTATACCTGATTTTGTTATCTTTAATATAAATCTGATCAGAATTCTTACCAGACCAAATAATGCTCTAGCTCTTAGTAAGAGATCAAGAAAGATCACTCCTTGATAGTAGAAAACAGGTCGATTTTGTAGGGGAAAATAGGGTCAGCCAAACAGATGATCCATGATTTCCCTAGTTCGAGGCACGATTCGACGACGAGAAGCAAGAAAACATTCAATCTAAGCGGGAAAAGAAGTAGTGAGCTGAACCCCATTTCCGAGAGCCAAAGAGATGGAACAGGCGGACGGTTTTCACAAACAAGAAGATGAGTTTCACGCGGTATCAGGCAAGTTTTAACGGAGAAGAAGAGGGAATAGTATTTTAGAAAGTAAAATAAGTTTTAGGTGGTATGTGTGTAAAAAGGTAAGTTTAGTTGTTAGATGAGTAAATAAGAAACTTTTAAGTGTTATGTATGTAAAAATCCCTAAAATAAATATAAGAGCAATATAGCCCATTTGACTAAGACTTCATTTGAGATAATTTTCTTAATTCTTAAAACAACTTTCTAATTAAAAAAGTTAATTGTTTTACTAAAATACCACTTTAAAAAATAATAATAATATCATGTCAAACAAAGCCTAAGACTTTGTTAAGACTACTACTGAAAATAAATTTTTAATACCAAAATTAAATTTTTTTACTAAAAAGCTTCTTTAAGAAGCATTAAAAAATCATCACAAATAAAGCCTAAAGCTTATTTTAAGACAACCTTCTTACTACTCTCTATATAAAAAATTTTTAAGCTAGAAGTCTAGAAATTTTTGTTCTAAAAAAACTAATTTAAAAAACAAAAAAAATAATATCCCAACCAAAACATAAATTTGGATCATAATATTTTTTTAAAAGAAAATTTGAGTTCGAGCTTACATCTGTAAGTTTTAATTTGCTCAATAAGGATCATTTATTGTTTTTTTTTTTAAAAGATATCCTTATTCAAGCAATTATAATAATAACAAAAAAAATAAAAAATTAAATGAGGGAGAATTACAAATCATTTGAAATACAAAAGATTCATATAATTTTTAAACATTTTTAACAACTTCATAATGAAATAATTAAATTCTAACATATAATATATTTTTTTTCATCCTTAAACGAGTCAAAATTAAGTCAAAGTTAGGCTTCGTTTGGGACGACTTTCTTTATGCTTCTTAAAAGTAACTTTCTAGTATAAAAATTTTAATTTTTGTACTAAAAAGCTGCTTTATGAAGCAGTAAGAAAGTCATCCCAAACAAAACCTTAATCGAGCTCGGCCACAAATCAGTAATTGAGATTGACCTGAAGCTAGCTTAAAAATTAAGCTGACTGGATTACACCTCTGGCAATAAACAATAAAAAATGTGGTACCTGCTTAAAAATTAAAACTGTAAAAAAAGCTATCCCAAACGATTGAGATGTGCAGATTCATAAATTAGTAAGGCAATTAGAGGGCAATCCAGACGTGCAATTATTACGTCCGATGCCCAGATTCGTCCGAACACCAATCCAGACGCGCCACGTCACCGAACATCCAATCCGGATGCGCCACGTCACCAAAATACACTGGGGCCCGATGTATTTCGGTGATGTGGCTCGTCCGGATTGGATGTCCGGACGTCCGGTAACCGGACGTAATAATTCGCCCAATTAGAGAGGATCCGAATCCAAATGAAAAATGGGGCCTATACTTAAACAAGTTTCAACAAACAAAATTCAAAGATATACTCCTTTCCCTCTCTCTACCTCACATATCTAACAAATTCTACATAACTTATAACTTGCACATGCATTTAAATAAGAAAAAGTTTCAAAGAAACAAAAATGCCGTTTCCTCAATGGATGGATACATTAATCCTAAACCCCTCTAAGATTCATCCAAATATTACTCATATCCAATGTTTGAAAATTTGTTACCTTTGGCAGCGCAAAAAGAATTTTGAAATCTGAGAAATGAAAAAGTTCTCTGCGTTGGATGAAGAGATAATAATGAATTATCAAAGAAATAAAAGTAAATCAAGAACCAAAATAGAAAACTATCACCTGATAATAAATCTTATGGTCCATTAGATTACTCTTTCGCTTTACTATGATTTGTTGGCCTTAGCTGCCAAGCAAATAAGCTTGTTATCGATGACAAATCTAGAGCTTGAATTGATCTGTAACATGAATCAATCAGTTTAAGCTGCAACATCAAGCAAAGCATTGAGAGACATAAAAGGGAACGTTATGAGCTTCACCTTCTCCATCATTGCATCACGTAGCTGCAACTCATCCCCAGTAACGCCTGATACTTTGAGATCTTTGATAACGAGTTTTTGTAGTTTCTTTATCTTCATGGTTCTGTCGGGTTTCTGCTAAAAGTAGATCCAACATTGTTATCCTTTAGTTCTATAGAAGGATTAACATAGAAATAGTATAATTTGGATATATACAAATCAATTCAAAGCCTGGAACAACCCATGATTTTTCTTTAAGATCTGCTAGTTTTTTTTTATAATTATTATTATAGAAATGTTGATACAATAACAATAACATCAAGCCTTTGTCTCACTACGTAGGATCGGCTGAATCATTTTTCTTCATTGTGATCTGTTAAAAATCAACTTCTCATTTAAATCCAATAAGGAAAGATCATTTCTAATATTCTCTAACCTAATCTTTATGATAGAAATGTTGAGTAAATAAAAAAAAAATAGAAATTTGACAACGTTTAAAATCTGTACTAATTAAAGTAACTGGCACCCACAATTCTGTCAAGTTTTATTAAAAATGCAAACATGCGGAATGTAATTAACATTCATTTTTGTTTCAAAAGTGCATACCGAATTCAAGATGGACATAATGAGTTTCTTCCATTTTATTTTCTTCTTTAAAGCCACCCCATCGCCTGCTTGATTGCCTAAGCATTCTGAGTTAGATACCTTTTCTGCATTCTTACTTCTCTTTGATCGATTCTTCTCTTCATTTTCTTCTGCTTGTATCACTTCCCCGTTGTTTAGATCAGATGCATTCTTACCCTCATTACTAGTGTTGAGAATGCTCCCAACACCATCATGTTTCCTCTTCTTGTCAAACTTCATTTCTAGAACTTGTTGAGCACCAACTGCTGATATATCATTTTCCTTAGGTTTATCCACATTGGAACCAGTTGTTTTAACTGGCTCTAACTTGGGAATAGTAGTTTCTGCATTTTCCTTGTTATTTTCTTTTGTTTCTTCAGTTTGATTAGACTGTTTCTGAGCAGCATGGAAAGCTTTAGCCTTTGCCCGGTGTTTCTTGCCATCAGCATGTAGTAGTAATGTTTGCTTGCTAGTAGTGGATGTATTGCAGAGGCTGCCATAAATCCACCCAAAAGAAAAGATTAGTCATTCAGTACTTTTTTGTCAGTTAACACCAATATTTAAACGCTAACCTTGCTGAAATATTTGATTTTAAGTCTTCTTGCAGACGCTCATTTACAGATCTTGGTAACAATTTCACCAGGAAATTTGATAATAAGTTCTGTTGTTCTATAACAATATGCAGGGTTATTAGGAATGCTGTTTTGGCAAAGATTTCGAATTGGGTTTCTTTTCACAAGATTAAGCATTTAGTTTATTAAGGCTTTGTTTGTTTGAGCGTTTTTTTGCCTTTTCCGTTTAAAAAAACGGAGGAATTTTTTTTTGTGTTGTTTGGTTCTTCAAATCACGTTCCCAATAACTCTTTTTTTTCATTTTTCTGCAGTTTTGAGAAAGCTTTTTATATATGCTTCTCCGTTAGAAAACTCTATTTTCTAAACTAATGTTTTTTAAAACTGTCTTTTACAAAAGCACTACAAAAACAAACGAAGCCTAAGTGGTTGGTTAAGGTGTTTTTGTTTTTTGGGGTTTTTCTAGTCTGGCATTTTGGCAAAGATTTCGAATTGGGTTCCTCCGTTTTCTTTCCTGTGGACGTTGAGCTCGGCTTACAGGTTTTTATTTGGAAGGTTGGATTTTCAAGCTTTGGTTTGTTTTGTTCATCTTCTGGTTGTTTATGTTAGGAGGTTTTGCTTGGTAATTGCTGTTGGACTATGGATTTGCCTTAAAGGTTTTATTGTCAGTTGTTGTTTATGTTGTGAGGCTGGTATTCTGATTGGTTTGAAGGTTTATTTGTGTTATCTTGGGGTTGTTCAGGTGCTTGTTTTGGTTGGTGGTTAGACTATGATGCTGGGAACCTCCTTTTCTATTTCCTTGGAAAGTTGGTTCGACAACCAAGTCAATACCTTGGAACCAAGGTTGGTTTTTGTTGGGCCGTTTCGATGAGGCTTTCCCATTCTGAGTCCTAAAGGAGAGGATTGTGATTCAGGTGCAAAGGGTTATTTTGTATTTCTGGAGAGGAATTGGTCTGTTCTGAAGCAGTTTTGTGGATGAAAAGACTGTTTTTCTTTTCTGGAGGGGAATTGGTCTGATTTCAGGATGCTTATTGCTAAACGTGTCTTTACCATTACCTGTAGATCAAATAATGATGATGATTAAAGTGATGTGTAAGATTAGCAGTCAACCGTCGGTCAAAGTTGACCATATCATGTCATTTGTTACTTAAGTCTTAATTAGCTTGATATCGATCTATTGGACTATTTATATATAAGTAACGGTTTTTCTTTTCTGAGGTTTGAAGAATGTATTTCAGAAGGAATGGATAAGGTTTTTATCTAACTGTCCTGAGTAAAGCTGCTGGTGGTCCCTGATAATTATCTATTATTTCTTCATGACGTTGGAAGGAAGCTTTGTAGGAATTGGGTTGCCTTTTTCTTGTTGTGTTTTTCTCCTTTTTCTTTTAAGGAGATTTATTAAGGTTGTTAACCTTTTTGTAAGACTTTCTATTTTTTCCTTCTTATAGGAATTTTTCTCTTATGAATACAAATATATACAACTTCATGTAGAACGGGTAAGTTAAAGATTTTCTGAAATCTTAAGGAAGTTGAGGAATAAGAAACAGAAGAGTAGAAGAATCATGCCCATTCACTAAGAGTAGGGAGAAGCATGTTCAGCGTGTTCATTCTAATAATAGTCTCCATCACATAACCCTTGAATTTTTATTTATAATAGAAGAATCTTACAAAATAAGAGTAATTACTTAAATTTATTCTAAACTAACAAATGACCATATTATGAATGATAATTAAAATAAAGACTAAACACATATTAAGAATAAAAATTTAGAATGATAATGACACTAACATGCCAAAAAATGGCACATCATTCATGTTTGACCTACAGCAATCCTCCCTAAATGCAAAGAACCATGCTCTGGAGAGTGAATGTCGCTAGAGGAAAAATTTGAAGGTTTTCTATCGCAGTGTAGTACTAAAATCCATCCCTGTGGGAACACGTCCAGAAGAAGAAGAAGGAATGAGAGGAACGATTTTTGGAGAAGAAGAAGAAGACGCAGCCCAGTCACTTTATGGAAAAAGAGATGAAGAACAGAACCATCTTGAACACATCCATAGAACTGTCTAACTGTATCCATCCTCTACAAGCAATCAAACATCTCTAAAATAATTGAACTTTATTCCAAAATTCTTGATTCAAATGGATGAATTCCAAACAATTTATTCTAAAGTAGAACTACTAGGTAATGGAGAAATTTGATGTGCGACGAGATATCAATGCAAGAATAGATGGACCAACTACTATACCTCAGAACAAAAAGATTACTTTCTGACATAATTAACTAGCTTTTATTTATTTTTTCAACGTTTCTGTGTTGTTTCAAAACCTCTGTTTGTAGTATTAATTTAGAAAATATGCAGTCTAGATAAAAAAATTGAATTTCAAAATTTGAATGTTTGAATCCCTGGAATTCAAATTTGTAATTTAAAATTTAATTTTTCAAATATATGAGCAATATGATACATAAAATTCATAGAAAACAATTAGTTCATAATTAGTATTATCACATAACCATTTTTCATATAATAGTGGTCACTGGTCAGCAACCACTCATTGAATTGTTGGTTATGTGTGGTTACAGTGTAACGACCCCTTCCTCCTCAACACACTTGGCCAACCCCCCTTTACTTCATTTTGAATTTCTAATGATGTAAAGAACCTATATAAAGTTTTCATTTGCTAGAATGAAGGATTTTTTATGTTGCTTTGAAAAAATTTTAAGCGTTTTACTCGAGGAAGAAGGTTAGTTAGGTGGCCAATTCCCATACAAGTAGTGCTTGGTGTAGTCTTCTTATGGGCTACTTTGTTGAGTAGCCTGCTTAGTGGTTTCTTGCAGCATTCATCTTCAACTACATCCTATCCACACTTTTATAACCATCCCCCATCCCAATCCACATTAAAACTCTGATAGAAGCCCTCGGCCAAACATGGAAGAGCTAGTCTTGCTTCATTCTCATTTACATGATCTTAAATTCAACTAACCGCTACCAAATACTCCGAATTATTAATATTAACATTCCCCTACGCATTCTTGAAGCTTTTAGTCATTGGTTACGACAATTAACCATCTCCAAAACCTAAACCTAGTAAGGCTTCTACACCACCTACTCCTGTCCAAACTCTTATTAAATCCTCCTAAACTTTTTGAAAAATTACAAAACACTCTAGATCATAACCAAAGACATTCTTCTGCCTATTCTCACTATTATCTAGCCATTTCTTTTGAAAATTTTTAGAGAACCAAACTCAAACTCTAAATCAACCAAATTGACACAAACTTGACCCATTTTTGAAATAGTCTCCACTTCTACCATAAACATCCTTTGGGATAACTTGCATCAATTCCAAAATTATAACCTAAATATCCCTCTTACCATTTCCAAGTGGTTTCAACAGAAAATTCCAAGGCTATACTAATTTTGGTATCAGAGCATAGGAAGAGAAGTGTTGGAGACTTCACCACCAAGAGGATTGGAAGCTTGGCAAAGTACTTGCATTTGATGCAATTAGAATCCCAAAAAGTTTATTCTTTAAATTTTAGCATATGTAAACTCTTTTTATTGTATTTCATTTTCTATTATAAAAATTAGAAACTAATTACTTATTTTAGGCAAATCTATGAAGCATTGCATGTCATGTCACCTAGTTATCTCCAAATTTTGAAACTTAACCAATCAAACATAAATCATACTAACCTAAAGTTGGAGTGTTTCCACTTAGCCTGGGTTCTAATCAATATAATGATACTTTACATTGCAAATTTAGATTTTATTGGATTTTCTTACAAATAATTTTAGTGTTAACTATTTTAAATTGCTCCTTCCATTAAAATGAAGGATCTAAATTTTTAAAAACTTCATTTTCAAGCATATTTTCATTTTATTACAACAAGCATCCTTTAGCATATGTAAACTCTTTTTATTGTATTTAATTTTCTATTATAAAAATTAGAGACGAATTACTTATTTTAGGCAAATCTATGAAGCATTGCATGTCATGTCACCTAGTTATCTCCAAATTTCGAAACTTAACCAATCAAACATAACTCATCCCAACCTAAAGTTGATGGAGTGTTTCCACTTAGCCTAGGTTCTAATCAATATAATGATACTTTACATTGCAAATTCAGATTTTATTGGATTTCTTACAAATAATTTTAGTGTTAACTATTTTAAATTGCTCCTTCCATTAAAATGAAGGATCTAAATTTTTAAAAACTTCATTTACAAGAATATTTTCATTTTATTACAACAAGAATCCATTGCATATTTAAAAAAAAAAAAATCTTTGAAATTGCATCATTTTGGTATCGGCAGTGCATAAAGCATATCACCAAAATCATTAGCATTGATCAAGTTAAAAACCTATCAAAAAGGGTTGAAAAAGTTGTCTTACATGATGAGGAGAATTTTTCTAAATTACAAGAAGTGACTATGAATGTAACTACCCAAATACAAGCCATGATTACAAAAATGCAAGTCCCATCATCTAACCAAAACCAAGAACACAATTAGTCATGACCATGTGAAAAAAACCACAAAGAAGATTAAAACAAATGGTCCAACCTATGATAGTGTTCATGATACCAACATAATTTTAGATTGGTTCATCCAAAATAGATGGGTTCTTCGATTGGTACCAAATAACTAATCATCTGTGAAACTAAAACTTTCGATAGGTGAGATCATCTGTGAAACTAAAACTTTCGATAGGTGAGATAAAATTTCTCCAAAAAATCATACCCCACTTTATCGCACATCCCTAAATTCATCAAAATCATTTTTTTATTAAATTTACATTTTATTCCGATCATTTTAATGAACGGATATATATATATATATATATA